TTATATAGGGCCTGCCATAATGACTGAGGCTTTCATAGTTTGTCCTACATCCGTCCACGCAAATGCCGTGACAGTTCTATCAGAATTGGGAGAGACGATCGATTCTCTCACCCACGGTAACATATGGTAACGGTACTGTAATATAACAAGGCCATAGATAATGAGGAGATTCATAATCAGTACCCTGCACTTAATAACACTACAACACAGACGAGTTGCGAGGAACATAAAGCACGCATAAGGAAAATGATACATTCATACAAGACGAGGTAATAATATTAAAACGTATCCTTAAAAGAAACTGGATATTAGGATGTAGACTAATTCAAAATGAGCCAGATCAGGTCCAAAGGTGGGCTTTTGTTAGCACGTTCATTTATCTACGGGTTTCATAAAAACAGGAAATTTATCAACTCAAGAATTCAAGACGATCCTGTGTAAAACTGCAATTTTGTTGCGGTATTGAAAACCACTGCTGCTTGAACACAATTGAAACAATTTCTTCAGATGCAACTGTCACTGTCAATGGGCATCGTTAATTGGTGGAAGGAATCGTTGAAACAGGAGGCGGTGAAATGCAGTAACACGGGTGTCAAACTACTTACTGCGTGCTGCAGCGCACAAACGTGCAGGCTTCTATGTGTACCTAATTAAAGTGATTCTATAAATACAAGAACGGAACCCTTTGTGCAGGCATCAGAAACTGTAAAACCCTATGAAAGCCATTGTATCGTTGAACGTGATTCGTGGGCTGTACAGTTCCCCTGGATTGAAAACAGATCATATAAGGTCAACTGGCAAGAAAGTTTAAATAATCGTGACCTGTTTCACAGTACTATCCTAGCATTCGAAAGATTTGAAACATTAACAATAAATTTAAATTCATATTCGTGTCTTATTTAGCAAAAAACACAACCACAGCTGTTATTTGGTGCCCAGTTGTTTGTAATACAACAAGAAAGAGATGGAAGTGATCTTGTCCTGTTTAAATTCACTATCCCGACAAGAGCCCACAAGGACTGAGCAAACCTATGAAGGTCAGGTAGACCCTGTTCGAGCCGAAGTTTGAACAGAACTCTGACTTCAGATTGGTTATTTGTTTACTAATGATCTGTGTTTAGGTCTCACAAAAGTGGTAGCGAAAGTATGAAGATTTGAGTTGTTCAGACTGCTTGTCTTAGCCTTTCGAAGCCGACGTTCACCTAAATATTATTCAGAAATGTTTTTACCTCAAAGAAAACATAATGCATTTCCATCACAAGAATAATGTCGTTAATGCAGTTTAAATAAATAATCGTTTTATCCTATGAATCATATGAAACAAATAAATACTCTGTGGACAAAATCCAGAGTTAGTGAATGCCAAAGTATACGGAACACAAAACTACCACTGTGCTTTGAACACTACAGCTAGAACTATTCGGTTTTCAACAAGTCTAAATTATTGGGGTTTGAACCTGGTCCTCAAGTAATAAAGCTGGTGTGACAGCCTCTGCATTAATTCTCCCCATTATAAAAAAAATACGCTACAAACGTAACCTACAGTAACAAGTAACACTTAACAACGATCAGTGAATGGCAATCATTTCAGAATAAATCGATAAATCGAAAACCGCACCGGAAAGCGCAATGTAAGAAAATTGTACCACTCACGAATTCCTTCGAACAATCTAGGTAAGGGCAGAAATAGTTAACTTTTTAAAGAACACTACAAAAACAAGCTGACTATTCTCTACGGTCGTTCGAATCAGATGAGATATGCCGTACCTTTACAGTGCTGCCTTTTAATTGGTCGAAAGGTGTTGAATCTTCGTGACAACAAAACTTCAAATTGTCACACAAGTAGACAACGATTGAAACAGATTCTTCAGATGTAGCGACAGACACTACACAAACACTGGACACCTGTAACGTTAATGCACTCAAAACATTTCTTATTCTACACTCCCGTGGTAGTTTTAGCAGCAATGCACACAGACAGCAGAGTCCAGGAATGCGGTCGTTGTAGACGCAAATTGCTGCTCGTCTGTTGACGCTTCCGCTCACCTGGCAGCTTGGAAAACAACTGAACTCCACAGAGCGACACGGTCAGCTACGCGACTCTCACGTTATTATGTTGGCAGCGCTGTTCGCCAGTGTGGGAGGATTTAAAAACAAGAGTAGCTGGTGCAAACTTTGTCTTTGTCTATGTATAACATGATGTGTGTGTTTTTGACCTTCTTTATCTCGACAATCCCCATTTCCCTTAAATTTTCCAGAAGACTTTGTATAATATTCAAGCAATATGTACACTACGCAAAACAATCAACACTGTTATTCATGGCATGCAATTAATGAAAAGCAATGTAAACACAATGTAGACCTATCCACAAACAACTAAAAGACCATAACCGATATAGTATACAATTTAGTGAACTATTTCTAGACATAACCACGGAAGTGTTAAATTTGTCACATATAACCTCAAAATGTCACTCCATCGCCATGACTACAATTGATAATATTTCAAAACTACACATGCATGGATCCAGTGATTCATTAGTTATCGCTATCAAATCGAAAAATAAATGCAGATTTCTCGTAGTCGCACATATTGTTGCCTTATATTCTAAAAACCCATAAAAAAGCAGCCCACGTGCTATTTTTAGATGTTTATTACCACACAGAGTTTCAAGTCTTTGCATTAAGCATTAGCAGTGTCGCTCACGCCTCAGTATTTATCACGGTTGCCAAATTACGTTTTCGAAAGCAAAAAAGAAAACCGAAAAGTGGAATGTCTCATAGACTCATGATCTTAAAAATCATCCATTGTGATATTTCTGGTTCTCACAGCCGTGAATACAAAGATGACCGTAATTTGTAATTTTG